AGACCTAGACCGGTTCAGTTAAATCGACCCTAAGATTTTCCTGATTCTTACCCAGTCAAAGGCCTCTCTGGTTCAGTCAGATCAACCCTAAGATCTCCCTGATTCTTATCCCAGTAGAAGACACCCTAGATTTTTCTCAACGAGCGTTGTTGAAGTTAAAGTCACCCAAGGCTCTCTTACCATTCATGCTAAAGGAGTAATCATCCCTGGTTCTTTCATCGCCGTTTGAAGCTCCAGACTCAGCTCCTGTAACCAGTCAGGACACATCTATACCAGGCATCTAAAAATCAGCTCCTGCAACGTGTCAGGTACTCATTTTCTGTTTTGCAGGTATACAGGTTCTCGCCAAGGAATCTCCTACGCAATCAAACATCCAGATGGCATCTATAAGCCCATTTCCATCACACTGCTAACATGTGAGCGCAAATTTCCGGGCACTCTAGTGTCCAATCTTCTTTTACCATCGGATTACGAAAGGCACGTCAGCCAATCTGCATCCTCAGGTCTAAGAAGATTGAACAGGGGCAACTGTTATACCCCAAAATTTGCCCTCCCATATTCTTCAAGAAATTGCCAAGCCAAGCTACAAAATTCCCCAAGGGTTGTGCAGTGCAACAGTCTCCCATACAGTCAAAATTAGGGTTTTGAGTCTGATCAAGAAAAGGAAGTTTTCAAAGGCCCAATCAAGTCTCATATGCTTACAAACCTGGTCAAGCATCCTCATATCAAGTTTCAAGGCATTCAGCTCAAGATTGCACAGTCAAAACCCTAAATTGCACTACAGTCAACTGTAGGGGCAAAATGGTCATTTGACAGTCAAAAGTTCAAATTTTTGGTCAACATATCATTTTGAAGCCACAAACATCATTTGATCAATGCTTGATCATGATTCTCAAAATTTGGCTCAGAAATCATCAAAGATGCAAAAGTTGCTATATTTGGACAGCTGAAAAAGTCAACTGAAATTGACCAGGGCATAACTTTCACATGGATTATCAGAAAAATTCCATCCAAAGCTCATTTTGAAGAGAAAGACATTTCCTACAACTCATCTTCATACTTCAAGTCCAAGAAATGCTCTCACAAAAAGTTATCAATTTCAACATTATAGGTCATTTTCAAAAGTCAACAAAAAGGGACTTTAAGTCAAAGGCCATAACTTGAGATTGGAAAATCAAAATGACATGGGACCAAAGGCATTGGTTAGAGGACTCAAAGACCTTTCCAAAATGTCCAAGAACATGTGAAAAGCTTAAAAATTGAGCAAGTTATGCCTTGTAGAAGTTGGGAAATTTTTGTGAAATGGCAAAAGTCAACTATCCTTGAAACTCCAATTTTTGACAAAAGGGCCCACTTTCTTCCACTTGATTCATCCTTGTCATGCCACACACGTGTCCCATGATTAATTTCAAGACCAAATATTGATTTTTCTATTTTATTTAATTTTTGATAATTTAATTCATTTTAAATCTTTAAAAATTCAAATAAAATTCAAAAACCAATGGAATAGTGTCATTTGAATTTGGACAACTTCCATATATCATGGGCCAACTCAAAAACTCAGGCTAGGGTTAAGTTTCACACTAGGTCTAGGTCTTGGCTAAAAAGAAGGAAAAATGGTCAATGGTAAAAACCCTAAGACTTGTTCATTCATGAGCTTGAATCTAGGTCAGTTAGCAAGCCAATTCCCTTCCATCATAAGCATTGAGTCAAACCCTAACCATAAGAGACCAAATGCTGCGCTGAAAAGCCATTGGACAATTTGAAAAAATGAGCCATATAATGCAAATCTGAAATCAAGGTTAAAGGGAGCTTTAGGCCTTAATTCTTTTTCTAACAGCATCCTGGACAAATTCTGAACGCATCCCAATTCCTAACATCTTTCAAAACTCCCTGGACTGGTATCCATGAGTAAAACTGCATCTCAAAAATTCTGAAATCATATAGCACGATTCAAGCACATTTTTGCATTTTTGTTTAGGTATTCATATTCATGATGATGTTTCTGAGCTAACCATTGCGTTTGATTTCATTTTTGTGCCATATATATGAACTTGCCATGCGAGAATCCTAGGGTTACAGTTTTCTTAAATTGGGGATTTTGCATAGAGAAAAAATTAGGGCTCAGGAGTACCATGGTTGAACTCAGTGCTTAAAGACGAACAAATCCCAACCATCGCGCCTAATTTATGTTTGAAGCTGAGCTATTCGCTATTTTTTTATAGCTCATCTAATGCAACACTTGCAAAACCGTGGCCATACACTTTTGTTTACAGGGACGTGAAGACGAAGATACCGTGGCAATTGCTGATTCGTGGGTTTAAAAACGCGCGCGCTGAATCATTAATGCGTTGGTTTTGTTTTTTATTATTTGTTTACTATAATATGTTAACTAACATTCAATGGCTCAGTGGCAGCACGTGATACATGTAATATCAAAGACCTGGGTTCAAGTCCCAGGTCTGGCAAACACTCAATATTATTTTTCAATAGTTAATCCTATGCAGCGCTAACGTCCCCAGTGTACCATACGCTCACCCTATCAGGCAGCCACGCGTCCCATAAGATCAAGCCAAGGGCAAAGATTGGGAGAGCATCATGTACCATAGTCCAACGTGTTATACGTGATTCAAAAAGTCAACGAAATTCAGGCTTAATGGGCCAATATTCTTGGGCCAACACCTCCATAATGGGACAGAAAACCCCCCTGGTTCTATCTTTTCCAATTTTCTTTATCTTTTATTGTTTTTAATTATTTATTTGTTTATTTTATTTTTTTGATTTAATTAATTCATTTTATAAAAATCAAAATATAAAAACATTCAAAAATCAGAAAAGACCAAAAAATATAATTTTTATTTTATTATTTCCATAAATAAATTATATGTAAATTATTTAGTTTAATTAGGGTATAACTTTAATCCTTTTTTAATAAAAATCCAAAAAAAATAGAATTTAGGTTTAATAATTTTTATTTTCTCCTTTTCTTTTTCCTTTTCCTTTTTTTAGAATAATAATGTTATTTATTTATTTTCATAAATTAAAAAATGTACATAAATTAATTTAGAATTAAATTAGGTTAAAAGTCAATATTTTCATAATAAACTTAAAAATAAAACGATAGAATTAGGTCTAATATTTAATTTAATTTCAATTAACTCCTTTTTCCTCATTAAATCTAAAAAACACAAAAATACCATTTTCATTTAATTTTAATTTTAAATTCCTTATTCATGTTAATTGTTTGTAAAAGGGTCCAACGCCCTAGTTTTGTTTAATTCCTTTATTTCGCGCATTTATTTTATAATCGTTTAAATAATTTTGTATATGCCCCAAAGCCTTGTAATAATTTTTACTTTATTTCTCGCACTTTTATTTTATTGCTTTTTTTTATTCAAATCGGGTTCGGTTTATTTTGGCGATGTGGACCCGCGCCATTTGTAATAGCTTAGATTTATTTTCTCGCAAATATACAACTGTTAATAAATATGCATGAAAGAATGTATGGACTTAAAAATAAAATCAAGCGTAGAACACAAATAAACATGACAAGACAAATAACTGAAACATGACACACAATTCGCACACACCACCCCTAGGGTACGCCTCACTGTTGCCTTTCGAAAGGTGATCGTCGAGTAGAGGATGTCTTAGTAAGTCCTCATGATCCGGGAACCTGGCATGAGGGTAGCTTCTAAGGTGTCTTCCCATTGCTCTGATGATCACCACGTCCCTAAAACTCGAATTGACCCGAACACCTCCAACGGTGGTGCTACCTACCTCTCAATGGTGGGATGGCACTACTTTAAAAGACATTTACACAGACGAATTCCTTAGGGTAGGTAGACGACTCATGGATACTTGCTCTCTTTCAAACAAATCAAAATACTTTTCACACCAACACTTTTCAAAAGCTTTCAAAGCAAATTTTTCAAACACTCTGACGTACGAGTCGAACTGAAATTTTTCAAAGAAACTTTTAAAACCCACAATTGAAAAGCAAGCAAACAATTTTGAAAACACACTGAGCAAGTACCTAAGAGCCCATGGATAACCATGGATAGAAAGGGTGCTAACACCTTCCCTTTCTATAACCTACCTCCCGAACCGAGAGCAATCTCTTAAAAGGAATTTTTCTGTGCTTTTGTCCTTTCCATTTGGAGAAAATAAAAGACGGTGGCGACTCTTGCTTCCGCGACATTTCGCGAACCAGCTTTAAAACAGTCAGTTCCAGATCCACCGATCACAGTGACTATTAATAAAAAATATAATAAAGAATAGAGATTAATTGTCATGCATTGCAAAAAGTTTTACACCATCAACACATCACAACCACTCATAAATATTAGTACTTTATTAATAATTAAAATAAAAATCAAATTTACTTTAAAATCTAACTGTTACCGTTCAATAATGATGTAAAATTTATTTACTCTGTCAATACATTCTAATTAAATTTTAAAGAATATTTAAATAACTATTTTAATTATTAACAAATATAAATATATATGTGAGAATGAGTACCATCAAATTTATATTTACGTCCGTAAAAAAGATGTAATTAAATATCTATTTGGATTTTTTTTTTCATTCCTAAACGAGTTTAGTTAAGTTTAATATTTACATCCTTCAAACATATTTATAAGCAACACAAATATTTCAATTCTTGATCACTTTTATAAATAAAAGTTAACTATTACTAAGTTATTTAATAATGTAATTTCTAATATACTCTTCTATTTCATTTTCAAATATTCTATTAAACTTAATAATAAAAATATTATAATAAATTTAATTAATATTTCATTAAAATCTAAAAAATTAACTACTCTTAATTGAATTTCTCGGCTATCATTCATCAAAAAATGAGAAAAAGAAATTCAATATTTCGTCTCAGAAAAAAATTACTAAAAAATAAAAACACAAAAAAGAAAAGATTCTGTCAGATTCATATTTGTTTGGTTACCACTCTGAAGGCCAAAAAAGCAGAAGAAAAAAGTATGAGCAATTTGAGAACCCTATGCAGAACTCAAACAGTATTCTCCTTTATTAATTGTACACACCAATTTCGATTCAGAGCTTCGTTTTGGAACCCTAATTGCAAACCCCTTTTGCAATCACCTTGGTTCTACTCTACATGGCTCGTTTCTTCGGATTCCACCACACCCATGCCCCGGTTTCGTCTCAATCAGAAGAGAACTGTGGCGAAAGCAACCAATTGGGGTCAACAAAAGTCCCCATATGAAACTCTTGGTAATTTTCAGTTTCTAGTTCGTATCTTTTTTGGGATAATTGTTTCGTTTTGAATGTTTGTTCTTCAATTGTGTATGCTGGAACAACAGAATTGGAAGGAGATGCCGACGACGAGAAGATAAAGGTTGCTTATAGACGTTTGGCCAAGTTTTATCATCCAGATGGTGTGTATAATAATCTCAGATACTGTTTTTAATTCGAGATGAATATGTTATAATCTCTATTTTGCTTGGCTCTTCAAGTCTATGATGGAAGAGGAACACTTGAGGAAGGTGAAACAGCAGAAGCTAGGTTCATCAAGATTCAAGCTGCTTATGAGTTGCTCACAGATGCAGAGAAGCGAAGACAATATGACATGGATAATCGGGTCAACCCTATGAAGGTAATGTTTTGTTTCTGATTATCACTGCTACTTCTTTATCAATTAGATAGGAACTTAGTATTCTATTTTTGCAATTTTATTGGAACTTAGTTTATATGGGAAATCATGCGAATCGTGTGTTGTGTCCTTCAGGCATCGCAAGCATGGATGGAGTGGCTTATGAAAAAACGAAAAGCTTTTAGTCAGCGGGGTGATATGGCAATTGCTGCTTGGGCTGAGCAGCAACAACGCGAGTTGAATGTCCGCGTACGTCAACTTTCTCGCTCAAAGGTATTATGGTGTGCTTGAATATGTTTCTAGCTTACTATCAACCTGGTTTTCTTCATACAAATAAAATCATATTAAATTGTTGATACATATTAGTTACATTCCACTTCCATTTTCGCATGAATTCAATGAATGCAAAGTTCCATTTTTTTCTCCCCTGCATCTGATTAGAAGTATTTTATGAAATCTCAGATTGATCCAGATGAAGCTAGAAAGATTCTGGCAAGAGAAAAGAAGGCTTCAGCTGAACATTTCAGCAGTACCCTTAAAAGGCACACACTTATACTGAAGAAGAGAGATCTAATGCGGAAAAAAGCTGACGAAGAAATGAAGAAGACTATTAGCCAGCTCTTAGCTGCAGAAGGGCTTGAGCTTGATAATAGTGACGAGGAATTATAGTGAACATGAGACTGGGCTTCAACTTACCAGTTGTTAATATGTGATTTATTACCATAATGTGATTATTATTTATTACTATACAGAGAAGATGCATGTACATATTGTTAAAAATTCAAATAACATTAATTATTATTTTATCAGTAATGTCTTTATCTTAACTTCAATTAATAAGAGATAGAATTGTAAAGAAACGACATAAAGAATATATTCAGAAATTTAAAAACAGCTTTCATACAAATGAAGACATGAATTATATTTGTTGTTCTATCTATCATAATCTTAAACACTGCTTAAAAAGAAACTGCAAGATGACATGCAACACAAATTGTAGTGTCCCAAAATTGCAACAAGAAGAAGAAGCCAAAGGTCAGAGACAAAGTCATTCCATAGACTCACCTACTGGAATCCTCAATGCAAGTGGCATGTCTTTCCGAAAGAAGTAACCGCAGTTGTTTTGCAGATAACTTTGAAGGTTCATATCATTATGTCAAGACTGCTCGTTGTGTTACAAATCCTAACGTGGGTTTTGCTTCTCAACTTCTGCAGTGTTAGAAAAGAGTGGTAAATGCAAATTGAACAAGCCTTGTGCTAAAGCACTTGATTCTCATGATGCTTTTATTGTTCAAGTTTCTTCTGCTCGGTCGAAATTGCAGGTTTTTCGTTATGAGAAAGAAAATGCTCCATGTTGATTCTCTCATGTGCTAAGTTACCTTTACCGCTATTAGACTTTCTGACATTCACTATTTCACTTCTGTCTTGAGTGTTTTATACTCTTGATGATTAAGGGTTGTCTTAGTTGGCCTTGTTGTTAGCTTATGTCCTACGGTGGTTAAGTTTTGTACTTTTTGTTGGCTTTGTTGATGTTAGCATCTTCTGTATGGTGGTTTAGCTTTTTTGCTTCTGTTAAGTGGTTAAGCGTTTGGCCTTATGGTCTTCCTTTTTGCCGAAGTATTTCCGACATTTCTCATTGTATTTTCTTTTGATTTGATGTATTTTTTATCCTTCATCCCAAGCTGGAAGCGTTGTGAACAACTTCCATCATGCAGGATACTATGCGAGATATAAAGTTAGTTGTTGGTTGATACTTTTTAATTCATAGACTTTGGTGTCAAATTTATTTTTGCACTTTTAGTATCAAATCAATCAACCAATAATCTATAATATGCAATAATCTATATGCATTGATAATAAGTTATTTTTAATTTAGAAGTAATTATATATGCAGTCTCATGTCTACCAGTCCCATTGATTTATTTCTCTCTTCATTCAAATTTTGAAATAAGTTAAAATGTTAAATAACGGATCCTTAACATCTATGTTTCAAAAGACACTAAAACATAGATGAAATCCCTTAATTCAATATATAATAATATGTACAAGCATACTCTAAACTAAATAGCATCAAATCACATAGTTTTGTTACCTCTTGCTATTTGCTAAATAGCATTAAGTTTTGTGTATATAGACATATTATATATATTCATCCAAAACTTGAATAACTGTTCTACAAACCACATAGCAGATTATGTTGTTGAACACTTCCTCTAAGGACTAATCCTAGGCGATATCATCGAGTTGCGAGGACGAGAAGTCCAAACAGAACAAAGAGTTTGAAGACGATGAAAGTATTCCCCGAGAGCAATCAAGCCTCTAGCAGCTTGGTGAGTAGACAGGATTCGCGACATGCGTATCAGAGTTTCCTGCCTAAGGTGATCTGCCTGGATTACAAAACCTTCTAGTGCTTCGAATTTTCCTATAGCAAAAGCCATCTGAATTCCATGATTTACTGCACTGAATGGATCAACTGACATGTCTTGCGCAAGACTCTGCTGGAGTTTATCGAGTCCTTGCGAAAGAGCATCTTCAGCTTGCTGAGAACACAGGCAAAGCTTTTTTATGCCAACAATTTGTTGATCGGTTAATAGCTCAAGTTGTGGCACAATCAGCTGCAGAAAGAAGAAGAAAAAGTTTATCGAGGTTTCAATGGTATCGATTTTTTAATATAAGTCTTTACTAGGATCGGATTAGTACGTTTAGAAGCTGTGACGGGCGTGAACCTCCGATCCATAGGAAAAGGCGTTCGGCCGATGCTTTCCAGACGCCCGAGATTAAATATAGGACATCAGCCTTCGCAGCGTCTGCTTTCATTCGAAAAAGATCTGCATAATGATCCATGACATTCTGAACAACTTGACTGAGCAGCACTTCGGACGCGTTAGCTTGAAATACACTTCTGAGCTCATTGTTACGCCTATGACTCTCGTCGATCCAATTTCCATATTCAATTTCAAATGCAACAATTCCTGCTTTACACAATACAAACATCACTTAAAAAATATAACAACAACGGCCAAACCTTATCCTATTAAATAGAGTCGGCCACATGTATCAACTTTCGCCATAACGGTCTAATCAGGACCATGCTTCTATCCAACTTGTTAAAAAATGTAACAAGAATAAAATAATTTAAGGAAGCTAGAAATTGATATCAAGAATCACAAACCTGGATTTATTGTTTCAGATGATCCCATAAAACTTGTATCTAATGAATTTCCAGTGCACATACCCTGCAACTAGAGTTGAAATTTTAGTATATGCTTATAAGTAACAAATAAAGAACATAACATAGATATAAAAAAAATCACATTTCAAAGCATAAGCTAAGATGATAAATTAATTTATAGTTTTGATTCACCTGCTTTCTTGCTCTTCCAATCTCCAACTCCAATTGCATGAGCTTCAATCTGCTTGTTTCTAATTGTTGAACATAAGCCTACAAATATCTTTTATTAATCAGTCACAACTATTTTCATCTATATATACTGTCCTAGAAGTAAGTTTATAGTACCTTTTTGCGCAATCGACTTTTCCTAGCAGCCTCTCGATTCTGAACGAGGCGTCTTAGCACCTACACATAATGTCAGAAACAAACAAACAACTCAAAATCATTCATGTTTTGTGTTACAATATGTCACAATTCATGTCTCGACGAAATTCAATTACCTTACTATCTGTAGTCTCTTGATCACCTCCAGAAGGCTCTCTTGGCTCATGAGGAACATATTCACTCTACAAAATTCAAATTCATAAGATTGTTATTTAATCTCGTCTCAAACTTAAATGATGCTAACTTTACTCACCTTGCTCTCCATGCTAGTAGTGTTCACCATTAACATTGGTGAAGAAGCAATTGAATTCAAACCACCTTCAACTTTGAAGGTGTCACCCCACATGCTAACTTGCTGGAATGGTTCATCATATATGTCCATTGATTTTTCTTTTATCTGTCACAAAATCCTATTGGTAAAAGAGAGTTTTCTTACTTGAAAGAATTCGTAATCTCAAAACTTGGTTAGACCTTATGTGAAAGACCCTTATGAATGATGATGAGAATTGAATATATATAATTGAGAAACTCACTAGCTTGCTTAGTTGGTTTGGATTAATGTGAACTAATAATTTGTCACATGCAAACAAACAATAAAAGCAATGTTGAGACTAAAGATGACAAGGGAAATATATAGTAATAGAGACAGTGGATATAACTTCACAACTTTTTCCTTTTATAAAAATATGTTTTGAAGAGACAGCTTGCAAACTTTGTTATGTTCCCACTTCATCAAGAACAGTGGTGAGTGCAAAAGCATTAAAAATAAAGAAAAGGTTTGTGCATTAAGAAAATTAAAAGGTTATATAGAAGAAAGTACTAAATCCAACATCGATCACATGTTCTTCTTTAGTTGAAGTGATTGTCATTCATTCCTTGTCTTGTACAAGACTTACGTGTATGGTAAGTTATCTATATTTTAGAATATTTGGATCTTTAAAATTTAATGAAAGAGACAAGTTAGTATTTAAATTTTGTGAAATACTTCCTTGGTCCTGTTTATAAGACAAAATTAATTTGTTAGATTCTTTGAATAAATAATGTATTTGATGTATATATTGTCTAAATATATTATTTATTTAATATATTTAAAAAGTAATCTCTTTGATTCTATTTACAAAAAAAAACTTTTACTTTATAAATACATTAATATATCTAGACAATATATAGAACAAATACATTGCTTACTCAATAAATCTAAAAAATTATCTTTTTTTTATAAATATTATTAGAGGAAATAAATTTTTTCTTATAAATAAGACCGGAGGGAATAATAATTTAATATTTTAAATTTTAAAAATGACGGTCAATTTTTTTTTTTTGAATTTAGCATTATATTTTTAAAGATATTATAAGTGTGTTAATTAGAATTAAGATTTTATTTTCAATATATATATATATATATATATATATATATATATATATATATATATATATATATATATATATATATATATATATATATATATATATATATATATATATATATATATATATATATATATATATATATATATATGAACTCTCAAATTCTTTGAACCAGTTTAGAAAATGAGATTCACTCATTTAATATGGTATAAAAGTGGGTTAAGGATGAAACGGTAAGAATTGCATCCATGACTCACACTAGGTGTAAAATTGTGTATTAAATTTGTACTGTCGTCTCACATTATCAAAGTTTAAGACTATTGAGTGTATATCTCGATTACCAACCTTGTCTTATAATTTAACTTTTTTTTTAAAGTGAAATCAAAATTTATTTAACATAATATTAAAATCAGATCAAAGATAACAATGTGACTTGATATATTTAAGTCCTATATTATTTAAGTCCTATATATAACAAATTATTTTTTTTGACAATGTGAGACTAAGAATTTAAAAACCCACATTCACACCTAATGTGAGTCTTGGGATCCAATTCTCACAATTTATTCACGAACTCGACTCTAACACCATATCAAATGGACTTAAATTACACTCTTAAAACAACCTCATAAGATAAGAGCTCACAAACACATATTCATTCAATAATATGAGAACTTTGATATTTGAAGACTCAAATATAATTTTAATTCTCACTCTCACTCTTAGGGTGGTACAAAGTCAAAAT